CCCTCTTCAAAGGGAGCAGGCAGTGTTCATATCCGAATATGTAAACACAGTTATGGACACACATGTTCTCCAGGTGAGCCTGTGACCTGTCTGGGCTGCAGCTACCTCGGGAAATGGAGGTCAGTTTGTTGGTGTGGAGGTGGGCTGGAAGAGGTATCTCTGCCTTGTCACCCTGTGCCTTTCCCTATCAAACTGCCCACACGTTCAGGTTCCTGCACTGTTGAAATGACAGCATGATGTGACAGTGGTCATTTCCAAGGCCAGCCTTCATTTTCCGGGTATCACGGTTGTTTCCCTTTCTCAGAAGTTGGCCTTGCCCTGGTCCTCGCTGCCTGGGGCTCACCAGAAAGGGCCCAGAGCTAGCCCTGGCTGTATGAGTCACATTCCACATCTCATGGGAGATTATTCAGTGGCTTGCTCCCCACATAGAAAGAGGAGACAGATGTATGCAACAATCTCTTTTTAAAAACCACAGAAAGTCTCTTGGCTCAACTGGACACACATTAGCATTTGTCGGGTTGCCAGGCAACAGGGAGTAACAAATACTTGGGAACGTCTAGCGAAGGGGTGAAAAGCAGACATCTTCAGAATGTCTTCATCACTTACCCTAACAAGAGCCCTACCCAAGTGCTGATCTGCCATGGCTGACATCAGTCACCTTCTTTTCTGGCCAAGAGTTCAGGAGCCAGATGTTTCCAAGCATGAGTTCCGGTGGCGCCTGTAATTTTATAGGCCATGAACCTTAGTTTCCCCATCTGTCCTATGGGGTAATAATCGCGCAGAAGCCTAATGGGTTAATTATCAGCGTTGAGTTCTTCGAGCAGTGCCCAGCAAATGCATGCTCAGCAAACCCTAGCTGCTGTTGTTGCCTACATGGCGTTTCCCCAGCTGACTTGGTAGGAAAGGTTCTTTCGGAACAGCAGAGAGGTCTGCAAACACCCACAGCCCCTCTTATTCCTGAGAAAAGGAGCTGTTGCTTTAGCTGCCTCCCCAGCCCACTGCCCTTCCGGTCCAGTTGTGGATACCCAGTTGATCTTCCTTGCTAGTTTCTGTCATGATGCTGAGCCTCTGGTGCTTGCACCCTGCCCTTTCCCGCCCTTGCCTCGCCTCATTCTCAGCCTCCCCTGTGGCTAAGGAGCCAGATGGACTCCACCGTGAAGGCTGGCCTTTAAAGAGGTGGAGCTCGGCGGCGTTGTTCTTTTCCTACGGTCAGACTTTTTCCTCCTCGTGGCTTCCTATCCAGTCAGTCTACCCCCAATGCTGGTGAACTTTCCTCAAAAGTCCTCCTAATGCCCTGCTGTGGGGCTTCCAGCGACTGACACAGGCCTTCCTATTGCCACTTTTTTCTGGTTTGGTGTGTGTGTGTGTACACGAGGAGGTCAGAGTTTGACTTCAGATGTCATCAATAGCTCTCCACCTAATTTTTTTGAGACATTGTCTCTCTCAGAACTTGCAACTCACCCTTCTGGCTAGACTGGCTGGCCAGGAGTCCTAGTGATGTTTCTGTCTCTGCTCTCTCCCCTCAGTCACAGGCATGGGCCACCATACGTGGCTTTTTACGTGGGTGCTGGGGATCTGAACTCGGATCCTCATGCTTGCACAGCAAGCTCTTTACCCACTGAGCCGTCTCCCCAACCACGCCCAACCCTTGTTCCCACTTTTTCTCTGCAGAGCAGGGTTTAGCAAGCGAGACCGTTACCATGGAGCAGCAGAGCATGCCCATTGTCTTCTAATGAACACGCACAGTAGGTTTTCACATTCTTCTTAGAACACAGCTTTATTGAGGCATAATCCCCAGGCTGGCCACCTGACTCATGAAAGCTGTTTGCAGCTCAGTGGCCGAGGCTTGTATTCAGAGCAATCATTGCTGTGAACAATCCGAAGCGAATGCTTGAAGAAACTGTCTATTCCTTCCCTGACATTCTTAGACCTGGGTAACCAAAATCTGATTGTATGGCTCCTCTCTCTCTCTCTCTCTCTCTCTCTCTCTCTCTCTCTCTCTCTCTCTCTCTCTCTCCCCCCCCTTTTCTTTTTTTCTTCTTTTTCTTACATTTGAGACAATTTCACTGTGCATCCCAGGCTAGTCTCAACCTCCCCCTCCTTCTGCCTCAGGCTCCCAAGTGCTAGGGTTACAGGTCTGTGCCGCCATGCCAGCCTATGATGGATATTCTCCAGTCCACGCATTTCATGTAATCAGACGACATGATGTGTAGTCTTTACAATCACTCAGCATAAGGACCTCTGTCCCTATTGTCGCATGCCTCGGCCCTTCCTGCTCTTTTGTTGTTAGGGAATACTCAATTCTAGGTCTGTATCATATTTTTCTGCCCTTTGTCAGCTGGAAGGCATGGGAGCCAGGAGCCAGCAGCTGTCTATCTGTGACTGGCTTTTAATCCTCAACTAATTTTTTGAGGAGACTTAAAACTTTTTAAAAGATTTGTATTTATGTCTGCGTGTCCATGTGATTACATGCCACATGTGTGGGTGTCCAAGGAGGTCAGAAGAGGGCACAGATCCCCTGGAGGTGGAGTTGGGTGCTAGCATCGAACTCAGGTCCTCCAAAAGGGTAACCTGAGCTCTTAGCCATTGGGCAATCTCTCAAGACCCCCCAAAAGCCATTTTATCATAGTCCTTATTTGTTGGCTTACTCATGAATATAATATAGTAATCACCCCTCTAATCTAATAATCAAAAAATTAAAGATTTCTTTTAAAAAGTTAGTTTGTGAGCCCAGTTAGTTGAAATAACAGTTTCTCTGATCCCCCTGTGTAAATTATTTAGGCTCAATGAATTCACTCAGTATAGATGAATATTCCAAGTGTTTGAGAAGAAAAAAAATATAGTTTTCTCCCAAATAGGAAGGAATTGTGAGCTATAAATAAAATAAAATGTATTATATATAATACAAACAGCAGCAGTTTTAGCAGAGGGAACTCCATGCTCATACTCCTTGAGTCATACTCCTTGAGTCAGGTAGGCCCAGGACTTCCCTATTTAATCTCTTCCTGGTCTCTACAGGCCCTGGTGCTGTTCTCTGTGGAGATGCCCCCCCAACCCCACCCCAAGCAGCTGGTGGAACCTTTTTGTTTCCTCCATTGCTCTGAAGATTTGCCAGCCTGGGGTGTGGGACTGACAGGATTTGGGAAGGTGACTTGTAGGCCAGAACACCAGCACACATGGTGTGTGAACTTTGACACTAGCCTGACCTGTCCCTAGGCAAGGGCACATCCGTGTCCTGTGCTGCTTAAGGTCTCTCTCTGGGGCTCACCGTGTTTGGGATTTCTTGCACAGGGACCTTGCATGCCTCCTGTAAAAAACTGCCTCAGGGAATTTCTTCTTGAGCCTCTCAGTGACAGGCAAATGGGCCTTCTCTTGTGTTGCTGAAAGAGTGAAAAAAAAAAAAAAAATGGAAAAGGTAGCAGGCAAAAAGCTAACATGCTCATACTTAGAACAAGCCATGACCACCCAAGGAGGGTCAGAGTGCATGGAAATATCTCCATCGCGGCGTATTGTGCTTTATTTCCCCATGTGGAATGTGGAAAGGCTCTGGCTTTAGCGCCAGTGGATCTTGGCAGTCTGAGGCTGTGGCTCCTTTCCGACACTTGCTTGCCTTGGCAGGGGAAGGATGCTACCTTCCTCCCTCCATGAGGGCTGCCATGGGATTTATACAGCAGATGGCTGCACTTGTGACACACTCAATCAATAAAGTGCATCTTCCTCATACGGATTTATGTCACAAGGTTTAGGAGGAAGGGTTTCTAAGGAAACCTTCAGGGTCCTTTCCCCATAGAATAGTGCTGGCTTTTTGAGCCAGAGAGAAGCCATCTTTTTTCTCCCTGGACTACCTAGGACTTAGAGTCAACCACAGGGCAAGACCAGCAGCAAGTGTTTGCTGGACAGACATGTAACAGGGTAGGCTCTGCAAGACTGCTCTCCCGGCCCCCTTAACCTTAACAACAGCATAGCCTTCCATATAAAACCCACTTTCTCACGGGCTGAGAAAACTTTTGCCTTGAAAGTGGTTTTCATTTACCTCCTAATCTTAGAGGAATGAAGCCTTAACTGAAGAGCCAGAAGAGCAACTAAGAATATGAAACGGATGCCATAAATATCCAAGCAGGCAATTTGTTTCCCTCCAGTGGCTTTCTTGCCAGAAATGGCTGCCTGACTGAAGAAAATGTTGTGCTGCTGGGTAGCAATAGCGTACATCTCCCCGGTGCTTTGCAGCAGAGCCCTTTCCTGTTATTTATTCCATTGCGCTCTGGGCTCCTAGAGGCAGCAGGTGAGACAGTGCTGTCTCAGCGTGAAGGAAATACTCCCTTGAGTGCTGAAAGTGCATTTCCTAACTCTCAGAACCTTCAGTTTTTGCATGTGTGTGTGGCATGCATGCACATCTGGATGTATGTGGTCTGTGGGTGCATGTGCATACATGTGTGTGTAGGTACCAAGTTGACATCAGATGTCTCCCTCCGTTAGTCTCTACTTTACTTATTGAGGCAGGAACTCCTGCTGAATGTGGAGCTCATGGATTAGGCTCGTCTAGCTAGTCATCTTGCACTAGAGAGCGCCTGCATCCCAAGTGCTGGCCACGACACCTGACCAACTTTGACGTGGGCGCCGGTGACCTGAAATCCAGTCCCTGTGCTTGAAGTCTATTCACTGAGCCATCTCCCCAACTCTTCCCTGACTGAAATAAGAATGACGAAATCTACTTGTAGGATTCCTGTGCAAGTTCTGGGAGCTAAGGTCTGAGTCATGTCAGCTACACAATTCGTGCTAACTCAGGGGTAGCCAACGGCTGGCGAGCACAGCGTCCCTGGGCTGCGGGACCAGAGTGCAAATGGGAGCCCCCAGTCTCTGATGCCATCCCTCTTAGCCACCCTGTGGACATCAGGGGTATTTTGTCGCTTTTGCTGCCAGTGTTTCATCATTCCAGGGCACCAACCCTCTTTTCACGTCTCTGGCCCACCCATTTTAAATGTCTGCTTTTGTATTCACAGAACATCATCAAGAAAGTGATTGGGCAGAAGTTTGTGTACAAGTTCGTCTCTTTCCCGGATATCCTAAAAATGGATCCTCACGCGGTGGAGATCAGCCGGGAGAGCCTCCTGCTGCAGGACAGCGACTGTAAGATGTCCCCCGAAGGCCGAGAGGTCCACAAGCACAGCTTGTCTGCCCTCAAAAGCACAAGCCGCAACGAATACATCCACTCGGGCCTGTACTCGTCCTTCACCATCAATTCCCTGCAGAACCCTCCCGAGGTCTTCAAGGCCATCAAGACAGAGAAGCTGGAGGAGCCATGTGATGACAGCCCCCCTGTGGAAGAAGTCAGGACTGTGATCAGGTTTGTGACCAATAAAAACGACAAGCACATCACCAGACCTGTGGTGTCCCTGCCTTCCACATCCGAGGCCGCGGCAGCATCCGCTTTCCTGGCCTCATCTGTCTCGGCCAAGATCTCCTCTTTAATGTTGCCAAATGCTGCTGCCAGCGTTTCGTCTGCATCGCCCTCCTCATCTCGGTCCCCATCCCTGTCCCCCAACTCCCCCCTCCCTTCCGAACACAGAAGCCTCTTCCTCGAGGCAGCCTGCCATGACTCGGATTCTCTGGAACCCTTAAATCTGTCATCGGGCTCCAAATCCAAGTCTCCATCTCTCCCCCCAAAAGGCAAAAAACCCAAAGGCTTGGAAATCTCTGCACCTCAACTGTTGCTCTCCGGCAGCGACATCGGCTCCATCGCCCTCAACAGCCCAGCCCTCCCCTCAGGGTCCCTCACTCCAGCCTTCTTCACTGCACAGGTAAACACTACCTCCCCCGCCCCACCCCTGCGGTCCGAGTGGAAAGCCACCCCCACACACCTCAAGAGTTATCCCCTAGTCAGAGTCCTAAAGTCACTGTGTACACTGAGAGGTACACACAAGGAAAGGCTTGGTATCCAGGCAACAGAGAGACATTTGGTCTTTGTGACTCAGAGTAACCCCAGATGGATTGTGCACATTGGCTATGCGGGTGAGGAGATCTCTGGGGACATTTGCACTTTGGGGGGCTTTTAGGACTTGGGAAGTTTTTATAACATAGTTTTCTGGAGGCACCTAGAAGCCTTGTGCGTCCTGATAAGATAATCCGTGTTTTCAGGTAACGGTGTGGAGCTGCAGATGTCATGTTGACCTTTAACAAGAAACACAAGGGTTAGATGCAGAAGGGAAGTCTCCACCAAAAGCAGGGCTGCTGGGGGGAGTTCGGGTCCCAGCATGGGGAGAGGAGAGCAGACTCACAGAGTATAAAGGCCTTAGCTGCTCGGAGCCCTGGAGAAGGTGGCCTTTCTTATTTGCTCATTTATGTTTTCCTGTAAAAGTGTCACAGTGGCGTCTGGTTCAGCTGCAGGGCAGACAGAAGCGGTCGCAGACCAGATCAGATACATGTTCGTGGTAGAGGTTAGAAGTACAGGCTTAGATGCTGCATCTGTGCCCCCACTGAGGTGTGGGACAGTGGGCAGCCGCTCTCTGCGTGACACCGTGTAGTAACAGTACATTGGGATGGTGGCCACGTTCCTCTACCTTGCCATCTCCAACTAACTGGCAGGCGTTGTCATCCTGGAGCTTTGTGGGATCATGCTGTAGGTGGGCTGGAACCCTGGTCTCTGTCTCTGTCATTGCCATAGCTGTCTTTGTTGGCCCCTAGACACCAAATTCTTTGCATGTGCCAGCATTTGCCACACACCGCAACCTTGCCGCCCCCTCCCTCCCCCCCCCCCCCCCCCCCCCCGTGTGGATACTGTTGTCATTGCAACTTCCTGGTTGAGTGACTAGGATGCAGAGCTGAAAGTAGGAAGAATGAGCTTGGACCTATTTTGTCTGCCTCCAGCATCCACTCTGAAGCTAAACACTCTGCCATCCCATGGGGGGAGGGGGGACCAGCTGTTTTACCCTGATGGCGGACCATGGTTTCTGCAGACCAGTTGCCAGCAAGCAACTCTGCTACTTAGCTTTGCAAGGCTTCCCAGGGGTGACATGGCAGCTTACTCTTGGGAAGTGGCAGTAATGGCACTCATTACTGAGGGGAGGCCCAGGGCTCTGTGACAGGTTGGAATGGGCACATGCATTCGGAAATTAGCATTCCCTAACAAAGCCAGGCTGCTTGGCCACATGCAAGAACACTGCCTCTGAAGTGACGGCTCATGCTGTGGCCCAGGCCAAGAAATGGCTCAGAGCTACCAGCTACAGTCTGACCTTAATGCTTAGGACTGTACCGTTGAGAGGGGTCTACCGCCAGGCCAAGTCACTTCCAGCTGCAGACTGTGTTCTCCGTCAGCCTGTATCATCCGCTTTGAGCAGAGTAGCCCTGGCTATTGGGGGAAATTGCCCAGGTTTCTACTGTGTCTTTGGTCTGAGCTACTGTGAACTTAGTGGGGTGGGCCTCTCTGAGGGGCTGGGGTGAGTAGAGAGGCCTCGACCGAGATAGGGATTCTAACCCACAGACACAGCATTAATCCCAAGAGGTAGACCCTCTCATCTAGAGCCTGGAGAGAACGCTTAGGGAAGCCAGGCTTCTGTGACAGAGGCCTGTGTGCCTCAGTCATCTGGGAGGTCAAGCCGAGAGGACTCCATCTTCACTGAGTGAGGTCCAGGAAAGTAAAAAGTGGGCCCAGGCTTCCAGGGAGAGACAGAGAATGAGAGTTTGGAAGGAGGCTGCGTGGGGACACAGTGGACCCTTAGGACCTAAACACCAGGCATTTCTTTATGTCCCTGGAGTGTGGGTCCTGCTCTTCGTGTGGCTGTGGGCGGGGAGAGAAGGGCTAAACGTCTGTCACAATGCCTTCCCTCAGCCGCTGGGGGTTTATCTGGGACGGGAAGGGCTTACCCTGACAGGCCTTAGGTCCTTCAGGACTAGCTTCGCTTGAGGTCAGTGTAAGATTTAGATCTGTAGAGAAGATCCCGCCAACAGTTTGCTCCAGAAGCTCTCTTACCCCCATGAGCTCTCCCTCCCCCATGAGCTCTCCCTCCCCCATGAGCTCTCCCTCTTGGGGGTGGGGTTCAGGAACAGAATGGACACCCTGAACTCTTCACCAGGGAGGGCTTACTCCCTGCCTCCTAGGCTGGCTCCTTTACCCACCTGAGCTCTTCCTTTGCCCTGTTGGCATTTGGTCACCTGTGACAACACCCTCTAAACTTTGCCCTGAGGAGCTTCCTCCGCAAGCCGGGAAGCCGGTGCTCTGCTAACCCAGTCCCTGAAGAGGCTGAGCCTTGACACGTGTGTCACATGACTACTGTCCTTTTCCACATCACCGTCCTGCCACTTCCGGGTGGGGTGGGGACAGTTGCGATGCCTTTAACGGGAGCTATTAAGAGCCGGGACATCACCCTTGCTGTAAGTTTATAACGACAGCTGCCGGAGGCGCAGGCAAGAACTTCTCCAACAAGGGACTATATATATAAGGAACTGAAAAACTCGGCAGTCAGATGGGTACAGAGAAGTGAGGACCTCAGGACTTAGCCATAGAGGCCTTATCCAAATGTTGTTAAAAACGCAGGGGGTGGGGGCGGCGTGTGAAGCCTCCCTGGCGTCTAGCCAGGCACCTTGGCAGTCCCAAGCACCAGCTGGAACTCATGCCTTTCACACCTCGCTTTCATCTGTCCCTCTTCCTGCCACTTTCCATCAGTGTCCCATTGCCCCTGCCACCCCACCCCTCCCCTCCCCTCCCCCAGGGGAAGCCACTTCAGATTCCAAAGCCGATGCACTGTGTTCCTCATTTTTGCTAAGGCCCGAGTTCATCTCACCTGTACTGACTGCAAGATGATGAAATCAGATCCGTTCCAGCACGGGGTAGGCATTGGCCATCAGAGTCTGAGTATGCAGGCCTCAGGGTGTTTGCTCAGCAGCAGCCCGGATTAGTGCTGACTGAGTGGAGACAGCCTGCTAGGTTGGAAATGCTAAAGTCTACTTCCTTTATTATGGGGTGGTGAGACAGCTTTGATCTGGAGTCAGAAAGTGGGAGTCTGGAGCAAACAACCAGGGTGCAGGCATCCTGTCCGCCATCGCACATCTCTCCAACTTCCTTCTTATTCGTTAACACTCCCGCAGCCAGCCTCCAGCTCTGTTCTCAATGACCTTTCCTACAGGCAGGAACGTCCCTGTGGGAGGTCTCTGCAGTAGAAGCTGTGAAGGTTCCTGGCTCCCAAGTTGTGGGTTACCCCAAGGTGCCCCTCTTGTGCCCTGGGCTCCCTGGGTCCCCGGGTTGCTCCTCTCCTCTCCTCTTCATCCCAAATGGCTCTTTCAGCTCATGCCTCATCCCTGCTTTCAGTACATCTGTCGGATGCATGAGATTCTCCTTATCCCTGTCCTTTGGAGCTACATAAACTCTTATGGGATTCTAGTCCTTTTACAAAAGTCTTTAAAAACCGTGCTTTTATTGAATTAAGACAGCTCTGTGGCTTTCTAGAGATTGGCACTTCTGGGGATACACACACACACACACACACACACACCATATCACATCTCATACACACACATATATTACTTTATTATATGTGATGTTGGGACATGTGTGTCATGGCATACATGTGAAGGTCAGAGGACAACTTGTAGGAGTTGATTCTTTCCTTCTACTATGTGAGTCCCCCAGACTGAACTTTGGCCTGGTGGCAAGTGCTCTCTCTACTAAAATAATGTTTAGCTGGGGTGCCATCATAATGGAGACTGTCTGCCTCCTGTGTCAGTTTTATGGTGTATGTCCTAAAGTCTGGTTGATTTCCTAGTGTCTCAAGCACCCACTCAAGACATCAGCAAATACTTGCCATCGAAGAGGCCCTGCACATTCTCTTCTCTCTGCCACGTAGCGAATGCTTCCTTTTCTAAATCAGTTCCCTTGGGCTAGTCACTGAACAAACACCCAGGCACCTCCTTGCTGCCCAGGGTTGGTAGACGGGCACAGTTCTTGCTCTCATGAGCTTATGGCTACTGCCCACAAAGTGAAGAATATGGGCCAATATATGATTTAGGGTCATGAAACCTGCCCCAGAAGTTCAGACATGATTTGATAGAAAATTAACAGCTTCAAGAGGCATAAGCCAAGTGGAACACAAATTCTTTATTAGAGTTAATAAATAGCCATTGCACATTAATTTTGCAGGACATGGGAAGTGACTAGTTTTACAACCTTAGGACCTAGCTATGATGAAGTGTACACATGTGCACACGCACGCACACAAGATAGTTACGTCCTGCAGAGGAACCCTGAGGCACACAGGAAGCAAGAACATTTGGCTCAGCTCCCTAACCGTGAAGAGGGCACCACCCCTGTGTAAGCTGCTATGGTTGGAGTAATCGATGTAAGTCTGGGTGGAATATTCCCCCCCCCCCCCCCGAGAGCTAGGAGGCGCCAGGGGAATGTTTAGGGAGAAGGGATTAAGTTGCCCAGGGAATCGAAAGAACATTGAGAGTTGCTATGGGATGGGCAGTTACACTTGGGTCAGGCATTGAGGAAGCTGTAGGAATCTTTCCCACACACAGGAAGGAGCTCTATGGGTGGGAGCACTGTGGGCGGGAACACTGCAAGCTGAGATCGTGAGATAAGGATGTGGAAGAGCTCTGGGTATTAGAGGAAGAACTGTAGTTCATTCAGTCAGATGGGAGGGTATCCTCAAAGGTAAAGCCATCAGCGGGGTGAAGCTGGAGGAAACCCCGGAGGGCTGTGAGTGACAGTATTGACCATGTTGTAGAAATCACCCTGATGGCATACATCTAGAAGGGACAATTGTATCCAGTAAGGATACCTTGTAATAACTATTCCAGCTAAAGGACAGTGAAGCTGTCAGGCTGTGATAGACACAGCCAGAGAAGAAGCTGGATCTGGGAGGAATTTAGAGAACACCCACCACAGGATGTGGCGAGTAGAGCGCTAAGAGAGGACCAAGGGCTGAACACAAAGACAGTTGAAGCTACTGGAGAAAAGGTCACAAGTTTGTACTGTGATAAATCAGAAAAGCCCATGGTACATTCAGGTGAGGATAGGCCAGCTCAGAGAACAAGGGAACAAAACTAAGGAGTCACACTCATGTGAGGGATGGATACAACCATGGCTACCATGACTGGGAGGTGAGGGAAGCTGCGTGTAGGAAGGGACTGGCGAGAGAATAATGTGAATCTCTATGTGATTAGCCCAGGACACATCAAGCCAAGGAGGTGGGTTCACAGAACAAAGTTCGGAGATACATAGGAGGTTATAGGGGACTTAGCATTGTGGCTGAGGATTTGTTCTGAAACTGAATGGCTTCTAAGGAAGTGTTTCAGAGTGATTAAGATGGCACTGTGTACAGAACAGATGGGGGTGAGGCAGGTGAACTGGTCTAGAGTTTTGAGTCCAGGCTGATCGTGGCCTCCAGACTCAACGGGACCATGAGAGGAGAGACGGGGATGGAGAGAGAGAGAGGCACTGCCTACTAAGACATAATTGGCCTGAGCCAAGAGACCAGCATAGCCAAAATAGCTGAGTTAGTTATATAGGGATCAGACTGGGGGAAGGGAAGGGAAGCCCAGTGTTATCTGGAGTTGAATGGGGAGGAAGAGAAAGGAGATCTTTGTGGGAAACCCCTCTTCCTTGGATATGAATGCCCATTGACCTTGGGTGTCTTTCCCTTGGATCAGGGACTCTCCTATGGCCATTTGTTAAGACAGGCATTTCCAAGTGGGTTGTGCTTGTAGCTCCCCCCCCCCCAGTCTCTTCAGGCAGTCACCCTTTCCTCCAGGAGGGCAGGCAGTGGAGGCCTGGCAATGTCCTGAGATAACCCAGGCAGGGCTGGTTAGGAAGTTCCCTTCCAAGTTCCCAGCAGTTCTTTTAAGGCCACAGGGTCTCCAGAAAGAACAGCAATCAGAGGGGGAGAGAATGAAGTCATTTCACAGGGTTTATTTGCATAAATTATAGAAGACATTTCAAACGTATTACCATGAGGGACAGAAGGCATTCTAAGCACATTCTGTAGTCCTTGGAAACAAATGTGCAAACACCTCAAATCCAGAGGGAACGTGACCTGTCAACCATGGAAACAGAAATCCTCTTTGCAGACTGTCCAGAGGTGTGAGCGTGTGGCCTTGGGTGACAAAAAGGTAGCTGTCCTGTATGGTTTAGAAGACTATGTACACGTTGAGATGCCTTCACTGAGGGTAAACCAGAAGGTCCTAACACTGGTCATTAAATGTCAGTGTGACACACTGTAGCTCGAACCTGGCTCTGGGGTATCTTGTAAATATTAGTTCTCAGATCACCGAGTCTGTGGGCTGGAGCCCACAGACCTGCACAGCTGGTTTCACAGGACTGTTTAGTACCCAGCTGAGAATTTCTCCCATGAATAGATAAAGTCTGTCAATGAGTGTGTCAGGTACATTTCATATTTATTACTGATTAACTAGTTTACAAAGATATTAAGACTTAGCCTGAGTCTTTTAGCCTTGACATTTCTGTGTGTTGGATGGATGGATGGATGGATGGATGAATGGATGGATATATGCAGATAGATTATATTATCTTCCCAGCAACCCTGCAATTTTTATCCTTTCCATTGAACAGATTAAGATCAAGGCCCAGAGAGGCTAGGTTGCTTGTCTTGGGTTGTCTAGCTAGTGAGTAGAGATTCTGATACGGGAACCCTGGCAAAGCTCGTTAATTTTTAACTGTGAGGCCAGCTGGCCTAGCGTACTTGTGAAATTGCCTAGACTAGAAACAAATGGAACACTGACTCAAAACACGTATTTATCCTAGTAACCTCGCAGGCCATTCAGTCTGAAGAAGGAAATGCCATGGAACCAAAGATTCAAGTAACTTGGTTTAAATTTGTTTACCTTTCAGCACTTCGGCTGGAAGACCACTGGATGTTTGTCTCTCTCCCGTTGAACAGAGCAAACCTTTCAATTTCGGTTTAAGCTCAAAGGCTCTTGATCATTATTGAAGCGGCTGAGGCCAGTTCTAGGAAAAAATAACAGGACCGCGTCCAGCATGATGCAATCTGAAATGCTGGCGCCTTTGCTGTGTTCTCACACAAAGAGTCTTATTGAGGGGCTCCTTCTGGTCACCAGAGGTGCACACACCCCGAGCCAGGGCTTGCCTCTACTAAGAAGAAGAGCTGTGCAGATTTACTGGCTTGGGCGGGTTGTGTCTCCTGCCCTTTAGCTGGCTTGTGGGCCAGGACTCCTGCCGAGTGTGGGCAAGCAAATGCCAGTCCTGCCACTTCTAAGAAATGCTGAGTTCTGGGTCTTCCACCCTACTTTCCACGCCAGGGTGATGAATTCTTCCCTGCCCCACATCCAGGGCGAAGTCTGTCAAGTCAGCTTGGGGCTCTGAAGGAGCTGTTGTAGACCCATGCTAATAGAATGTCAATTATTAAAGGGCTGTTGATAGCGGACAGTGAAGTCCAAGGAGACCTTGGGAGACACGTGTGTGTCCATGTAAGCAATAGGTGTCTACCGTGATAAGAAACGAAGCCCCTCCCAGAGATGCTGCTTTGTCTGTTCGTTTCTTTAATTACTGGGAACCGGGGGATGGGGGGGCGGTGGGGGATGGGGGGTGGAGGGGCTTTGAAGGAACTGTTCTAACAGCTGCTACAAACCTGCCTTTTCCACCGGGATGTTTAGGCAGGGTGACTTGCCTAAGACTTGTGGATAAAATCAGTATTGAGAAAATGAAAACTGATCATAGCCATGCAGACAGAACTAACTAAAGTTTCCCAGTTTTCCAGAGAAGGCAAGGTTTGCTTCATTGTTCACGGCTAGTGCAGCTAACCAGCTGGCGTTAGGTGAAGCCCTATCAAGACCTGCCTGTTGTCTTGTCTTCTAGACACCAAATGGACTGCTGCTGACCCCGAGTCCGCTGCTCTCCAGCATACATTTCTGGAGCAGCCTTAGTCCTGTGGCTCCCCTGAGTCCTGCCAGGCTGCAAGGGCCAAACACACTTTTCCAGGTAAGTGTTTGGAAGTAAATTTCCAACACGGGCTATCTGCCGCTTTCTTCTAAATTCCACACATACTTGGTTACCGTGTTAAGTTTCCAAGGGGACTTCGTGAAGATTGGGCTGCACAGCCCGTTAGAGACACACTCTCACCCAGGCAGAAAAGATGCTCACATGTCAGGAATCCAAACATGGATTCTTCAAGTGTTCTGCATTTTTGCACACGAGTAGGAAGACTGGAAATTTACTGCAGAAGTTATTTAAAATTAAAAACTGGCTTTTATAAAGGCTCAGTAAAGCACTTTAAAATGTGAATCCAACTAGCCAATATATTCATATTGGAATACATTAAAAAAACAAAAATAGTGGATGGTTTTTCCAAACTGGAGCAGAAGTTCCCTGCATCATTCTATAACCGTGCTCTAGATTTGAAATAAAATACTGTGCAGCATATAGTTAAAGAATAATGAAGACCTCCCTGACTTAGGTGAACACATTCATTATTCATTGAGGTTCTGGAATCTCCCAGGTCAGTATTTCCTCAGAGTCCCTAAGATAGCTGCTCACCTATTTTGAGTAGGTGGGTACAGTCATGGATAGGAATGAAGCAAAGGTGGACATGGTGACAGCTCCTGCTTCCCCTGCCCTAGTACAGCTTGCCCCAAACTCACTGTAGCTCCTTGCTGCCATTGCATTTAGCATATTGTATTATGGCTGCCTGTTATCTGGCAAACTCCACTAGAGACTGGGCCCCTAAATGTCGGGAACCATAGTCTGGTCACTGTGCTGTTTCCCAGCACCTAGCACTTCGATTCGTGCACAATTGTCAGTCGTAACTGATGACCTAGTGACAAGATGCCAAAGCACAGCTGTCAATAAAATGTCACTTTGGGAGCACAAGTCTCTCCTCTAAGCTGGCCATTTTGCTTATCAAGGTTAATATTGGCTGAGCACCTCTCTGCAGGAACGCAATGCATGCGCAATCTGATTTAGGATCTCACTGGAAGGATGGGACAGCCATAGGTTTTGATTGCTATCATGTGCCTCTAGTTTCTAGCAGGCTTGGAGTATTCCCTGGAGTAATTGGGTTTCCTTCTCTCCCCGGCCCCCAGTGAGGCTCAATGAACAGGGTGATTGTGACACTTTTAACCGGAAGTGGCATGTTCCTGTAGAACTGGAGCTGGAAGGAGTTGCATGACTGACTACAGCATCTCCTTGGGAGTAGGGCTGCAACACTATATATAGTTAAAGAATCCAACGTGGAGCCTTCAAAAGGAGCAGTAAATATATGAATAATAAACAGCTTCTCATTTCCATTGCTGTTGGGAGTTTTCTGCCATCTCACTGGTCCTTGGCGACCTCCTAGGAAAGCCACAAGGAATCAGTGGGATTTTGTCTCTATTCCTGTGTTCCCACAGTACACACAGCTCATGCCCACAGTCAACTGATAGCCAGGACTTCTGGGAGCTGGGAGCTCTCCACACCACATGCCCAGTGGTTCTGTGAACTTAGCATGTACCTGAGTCACAAGCCTAGTGTGTCAAGTAAAGAGGCTAACCATAACCTCTCCCCAAAAATGTGCTAGGCCCACACTAGGGCTTCTGATTCATGAGCTCTTGGACAGGGTCTGATAAAACATTTTATTCACATTTCTAATGATACTCTACTATAGGAACGGTATTCTGAGAACTATTGCAGACTAGGGGTTCCTAACTTACATTTCCAATTTTGCAGATTACTGCATATAAAGGCTGTCTGCAAAGAATCTCAATTCTAATTTCACCAAACAAACCTGTTTCCCCTCCAAGAGTCATAAAAACAAAACAAAAACAACTACAAAGGCTGGGGAGGGGTTACAACCTAGCCTGGATGGCTGACAGACTGCATGGCCTGAGGTTGCAAAGTTATGGCTAGATTCGTGAGACCAGGGAAAACAACTCCGTACCTTTTAAAGTATTGTTACTCTTTTCATAAAAAAAAAAAAAAAAAAAAAAAAAAAAAAGAGAGAGAAATGGAGTATGGCAAAGTCAGAAGTGGCAGTTTTAAAAATGGTAAACAGCAACCATGCTAAGAGGAATGAGACTTCCAACTTAAAAAAACAAAAAAGACATCAAAATGGATTACTCAGAATTCAGATCACCATAGTGCACCTTTAAAATTAATAAAAATAATAAACCCCATTTACATACACTGGGTGTTATTAATGAAAGAGAAAGCACATTTTAAGCAGAGTGGGCAAGTTTCCTGTGTGGTTCTGGAAAAGCAAATCAAATTCTGCAGGGGAAGCCTTGCTGGAGCGAAGGCATTCATTCCTACACAGATGGTCCCCTAAGAGGGGCTGGCCCAGGGTTACACGCTGTAGCTCCGGCTAGCCTGGAACTCACTTTGTAGCCCAGGATGGCCTTAAACTCAGAGTGGCCCTCCTGAATGTTGGGATTACAGGTGTGTACTAGCACACATGGACCAGGATTAGAGCAGATGTGGCAGAATTTCAGCGAAGAATACAGAAGAGGTATGCTTTCTGCTCGAGAATCGAGAGCCTGACCTACAAATACAGCACAGTTCAGCTGCCAGTTGGTCCGGTAAGGAATGCACCTCACGGGAAACAAGGTAGAAGTTACTCCATCTCCAGCTGAGAGTGTGCCCTGTAACTTTTCAGCCTGGCACAGTTTTAGGCCTCTGTGGCAGGGCCTGGAGGAGATGCCGCCGATGAGGCGCTGGAGCTAGGACAGAAAGAAAGAATTCTTCCCAGCTGGAGACTAGACATAAAGGCCCCAAGCAGAAAGCTCCTCCTGAGCAGGGACAGGAAAGAGGGTTGGGCCTTCAACAGAGGGACAGGTGCAGTTAGGGCTTAAAGTATTTGTGGGGTTCAGACAAGGAGGTGTGCAGGGAGCAGAATGTGACGAGGTCAGGCGGGAAAGCAGCGGTAGGCCTTGAACTGTGAGCTCAGGGGCTTCTGCCCTCATCTGTTACTATTTTTGACACCACAGGTATGAGAGTATGTTAGGAAAACCCCACTGATAGGCATGTGGAGAAGGCACTGAGAGCAAGCTAAGGAACGGGAAGATATAAAATTATCGTCCGTCAGATAGATCCTAACTATAGTAGGCATGTGCTTTGCAGACATTTCAGAGGTGAAAGACTTTTGAGTTGGGTCTGAGGAAGAGGGTAAGTACTGGAAAATTTGTACAAACTATGCTGGTGGATTAGAAAATGGGGGTGTTACTAATACCTGCTGGCATGCATCAGTTTGCTAAGTTATACGTTGCTTACTGCGTGTCACTCTTTAGCCTTAGTCATGTTTGAGAGTTACCCGAGGTCACACAATAGTATATGGAAGAGCCCTGTATCCCTAACCCTGCCTCTCACAGACTCAGCACCAAAGAGCAGGTCCTGTGAGCCTCCGCAGTCAGACATCTACAGTGGGCGTGGCTATCCCGTTCAGGGCACTGACTGGAGGAAAGAGAGGGAGGTTGGTTGTGTTGCAGTGTGGTGGAAGAAAGGCCAATAAACACGCCAGGAAAACAAACAAACAAAACCCAACAAAACCCCGAGAGCCAATCAAGACTAGTATGACAACTAAGTTCATGCAGAGGAATTTCTAACACATGGAAAAAGCTAAAACAAAAGACGATGCTTTTTTGTAACCACTGATAAAGTGGTGACAGGGTGTCCGAGAGAGAAGATGCAACTAGTCTTAAAGGATGAACGCTCAAGGCCAGCTCTGCCGTTCACCTGAAGCCACCGTGGGAGTGGTGACAAGGACATGGCCCTTGGCTTAGACTGTATAGACTGCATTCAGATAGACCTAGGAACACAACTGAAACAAAGTCCCACAAAATGGAGACAAAAATGCATTCTAAAGCTGCAGGAGAGACAGAAACCCTTAATATGCCGGTTACCATTCAAGAAACTAAGACAGAAGCAGGGCAGTTTAGTATAGCTGGAGATAAAACTTGGTTTTGCTCATGAGCTATGACCTTTACCTAACTGGAACCTCTCTATTTTTCCCATATAAAGGGAGGCTAAGAAGGCTTATTTTCTATTCCCAGACACCAATGAAATAGCAGCCCCTGAGAAGGTGGCATTGGATGTGTTACCAAAATAATTTGAAAATTTAAAAAAAAAAGTGTTTACTCACTCTACAAATATTTATTGGACTTGTACCATGTGCCAGGTTCTGTAGTTTGGTAGTCAGTGCTGAAGTTTAATATTTAACTTTCCTGGACTGAACAGGGTTATCAAGCTAGAAGAGCACTGGTAGCTCAACTGGACACGTTTCATCTTTGGCAGCATAGAGCTCTAGCTGTGTGCAGTCATGTATTAAAAAGACGCTTCTACTCATTCTTCACTTAGGAGTATAGCTGCAGGATTTGCTCAAGTCTTGAAGGCAGCATAATGCCTTCATTCTACTGCTTGCCATTCTAGTTACCAACAATACAGAAGCCCCCTGTTCCTTCCGGGACTGTGATCTAACGCATTGATACTAAGTCAGTGAAAGTACTTCCTCATCTCCAAAGTTAAGATAGTCTTTCTTTTACAAAAAGATTTACTTTCTTCTTAATTATGTGTTTGTGTGTGTGCATGCCCACAGAGGCCAGGGCCACAGGTCTCTGTCACTGGAATTAGTTTTGAGCCATGCAATGTGGGTGCTGCAATCAAGCTCAGGGCCTCTGTGAAGACCGCAGTTAGCATCGTTAACTGCCGTGGTATTTGCCCTGGCCCTCATTTTAAACAAGTACTGACGGGCCATTTTGCTATGCTGTGGAAAACCGACAGCAAATCTCTAAATCTGAGAATACTGACTCATATGATGTTGGCTTCCAGTTTCACCCCCTCTATATTCAAAGCAAACCAGCACGCGAGGGAGCTGTGAACCTTTAAAAACAGCAGTAGAATTCGCTGTCCAGCAACCTGTGAAGTACACTTTAGGACTCGGGCACACAGAGTAGGGACATTTTCTGGCCTCCCTCTGTTGGTTTCAGTGACCTCTGTGGAAACAGATCACCCACCAGCTCCCATCACTGGGTTGCGGGAAGCACCTCCATTGGGGTGTCTACGCATGACAGGGATGCACGCTCCTCGATGAATCTGCCGCAATTACTGAGTGCCTCTTGTCCCTTACAGTTCCCCACACTGCTCAATGGTCACATGCCGGCGCCACTCCCCAGTCTGGACAGAGCTCCGTCCCCAGCCCTGCTTTCCTCCAGCTCTCAGAAATCATGATGACTGGCGGCAGCAGCGGAGGCAACTAAGGACTTAAAACTGATGAAGCCAGTTTGTCCCCGTGGGCTAGTTTACCTGTGTCATGAGAAGGACATTGTGAAACCCTGTTAATTTGGTTTGCACTTTTCATAACACGGATAACCTAGATGTATGTTAGCATTTTAAAAACCATTTTTATATATTCAGCTCTATATGAAAGTGTATTTGCATTAAGTGGATTTTAATGTTTTTGTTTTTCTATCCTTTTAGCTCTCAAGTGTTGAACACTGACAGTGAAGACCTTTTTAATGTTTTCAATATAACTAGTAAGGATATGTGAAGCTTTTTATTGCTTTAATTCTGCATATGCTCAACTCTGTTTCTATACACAATATAACCAGCTGTGCCTTCCTTTGCGTTTAGTTTTATGTACATGATTTATGTATTTCTAGTATTAAGGGGAAAATGTTTGAAGGACAAAATGACATCAAACAGCTCTCGGGAGAATGTTCTTTTCACATGTAGAAAACATGAAAGTATACTCCATTCACTGCCTTAGAACCCCTTTGACCTGAAAGCCAGTAAATGTAATGTTCAAGTAATCTTTTTATAAGAATGAACGAAGCCATATTTAGACAATAAACATTCTTTAAAGAACATGCTCCAAAGTGCATTTTTTTTTTAAAGATGAACTTGTGAATGGCTTAGCCATTTACAGTAGCATTTCTACTCTGGGACATTAAAACTACATTAAGTCCACACCAACAGAACTCGAAAGGATGCTTCCCAGGTTTATGTACTATTCTCTTGTGTTCCTATAAACACGACCATCTGGTGTCTTTATCGCCACTGGGAGTTAGGGATTCTTTAGAATCCTGGCATGACCATTAATATTGAAAAATCAAATGTTTTAGGGCTGAGCGTGTAGCTCAGTAGAGTGTGTGCCTAGCGTGTGTTGACGCTATGCGTACAATTCCCAGTAATCTGATCCCGGCCCCTCCCAGCAAAGGGGGGAAAACACAAACCAAGACTAACACGATTACAGACAGTGATGAACTCAAACAACAAAGAAACGATCCTATTACACCAGGTACCTTCCCGTGTATAGACAGTTTTTGATGGAGTAAACAAACTGCAAAACAAAGAGCTGGAAACATGGAGGCCTTGCTAGAGAGGAGCCCCTAGGAGACGCGCTCCATATTAAATTGATGATGAGAATAAAGGCAATTCGAGAAGAGGAGCCTCCCCGCACAAGTGACTGTGATTTGGATGTTCTGTGGGAGAAGCATCCCCTGCCATGGGTTAAGGCTGTCAAGGGCAGCAGCCCCTCGTCTGGCCAGAAACTTAGAAGGGAGCACACCTGTGCATAAGGCTGCTGCCAGACTGTGAACTCAAAGTACTTTCAGTCTAAGTCAGCTGGGATGTGGCAGCTGGGAAAAAATAAACAGACCCGAAATGCACCTCGACAGTTATTCCAGACTAGGACTAAAGACAGGCTTAGAAGAGGGTTAGAAAACAAGCTTGTGAAAAAGAAGATCTGAATTTTTTAAAACCTAAAAATTATGTTTAGAAACTTATAAATTGAGGCTTTCTACTGAAATCAACCATCTTTCTTGGTGGGGGGATAGGGGGCAGGAGCCTTTGACTGTAAAGCAATGGAAATAGCTCCAAATCCATAAATAGACACCCTGGCCACTCCTTCCCAGCAGAGAACAAATGTGCCCTAAAATAAAAAGAAGCTGTTCAGGGAGCTGTAATTACTGAACACAATGTCAGAGGCAGGAGGTGCTTTGAGAACGTTCTCTTCCTGTTCTTCTCTGGTCAACGTGCACACAGGACCAGCTGGGAGAAGCTGGGAGCTGCCTGGATGGACGGTACCATTCGCTGAAGGTAGGGTAGGACTGGTCCAAAGCGTAGGCACAGAAACAAGGCTGCAGTGTCTAACACTGCTTGAGAATGCATTTGATGTGCAAGTTTTTAAAATATTTATTTTTATCTTACGTGCACATTTGTCTGTGTGAGGGTGTTAGGTCCCCTGGAACTGGAGTCATAGACAGTTGTGAGCTGCTGTGTGGGTGTTGGGAATTAAACCTTGGTTCTCTGGAAGAGAAGCCAATGCTCTTAACCACTGAGCCATCTCTCCAGCCCGATGTGCAATATTCTTACAAAGAAACTAAAGGATTTAATGTGCAGGAATTTCAAACAAAATTATTTTTTTTGGTAGACTTTTAAACTATAAATGCTGGTTGGAAATGTTCGAATGACTATAAATTTGGCTGTTTTCTTTTCTCCCAACTACTGTGATTACGCTATATTACAGATTCGCTGATTAGAAATGGCAAAACATTGTAATCCTTGGATCCAAACACTCAGTGCAGTGAAGACAACTGGAGGTTTGGAGATTAACTCAGCTTTCCCATGCTTTGTGTTTTTAACAGGATTGATCTAACCAAAAAAAAGATTCCAAAGCACTTGAACATTTCTCTCTTTTTAATGCTTGCCTAATCAACGCTAGCCTGCAGTGGCAGAAGTCGGAGCTCTAGAGCCTGATGGTGGAATCTGAACTCCGTCTCTGCACACAGCTTCTCTGTGGCTGCAATGGTTCATCCACCTCCATGTGGGCATTCCCCCCCCCTTAATATTGTTCTGTTGAATAAATGCTTTGTAATAAAGAGTGAGGAGGCAAGTGGGTTACTTTGCTTCCATTTACTTACAATGACTCAAATGTCACTTCTAAGTGAACAAGTTGGATCAATACACTGTTTCCAACTGTAAATATGGCACGTCAAATGCTGTATATGCATGTACGTAAGGGCATTAGCACATAGCAAGAGCACTTGCCTAGCGTCTGTGAGACTCCAAAACCCAGTACTGTGTGCCCATGCGCACGTGTGCACGCACATACACGCAAACACACAGTATCTCACCACTGAGGTTGAATTGGGGGAAGAATGAGGTGGGTTTGAAGCTGAGAAGACAGCTTAGAATGGGCACACGAGGACCTAAACTCATCCCCAGCACCCGCATGAGAAGTGGAGCACAACTGTGCATACCCCTGGGGTCCCAGCACTGTGTTCTGGGTGAGGATGGGAGGCGGAGGCAGACCAGGGCTCTGCTGGCCACCAGCCAAGTGACGCAGCGAGCATCAAACTCAGTGAGAGGGCGTGTGCCAAGGCAGGGCGCTAAGTGGGGCATCCTCTGCGCCTGGCACGCGCACCTCTCTCTCTCTCTCTCTCTCTCTCTCTCTCTCTCTCTCGCACCTGTATCTGTCTGTATGTCTCTGTCTCTCTCTCTCCCTCTCGGACCTGTATCTGTCTGTCTGTCTTTGTCTCTGTCTCTCTCTCTCTCTCGCACCTGTATCTGTCTGTCTGTCTGTCTCTCTCTCTCTCTCTCTCTCGCACCTGTATCTGTCTGTCTCTGTCTCTGTATCTGTCTGTCTGTCTCTGTCTCTCTCTCTCGCACCTGTATCTGTCTGTCTGTCTCTGTTTCTCTCTCTCTCTCGCACCTGTATCTGTCTCTCTCTCTCTCTCTCTCTCTCTCTCTCTCTCTCGCACACACACACAGACACCACCACCACCAAAACCAAACAAGTCCTGTCAATTGCTCTGTACTGAGGAATTGGGAAATGAGAGAAAAGGGGGAAAACTAGGTCATAATTTTTCCTTTTTAGTCATTTTCTTTACAGAGGGACATATGAACTATAGACATGTTGCAAATGTTATTATTCTTCCTTGGTTTACTTCCAAACTGGTGTGTGAGAGAGAGAGAGAGAGTGTGTGTGTGTGTGTGTGTGTGTGTGTGAGAGAGAGAGAGAGGGGGGGGGAGAAAGAAAGAGTTGATAAGTAGAGACTCAGACTGACATGTTCAGTATTACTAGTTTCAAAAGGGACACAGATCCATTGCTATATAGGTATGAACATATTTGCAGGTTTGTTTCCAGGGGGCACTGCAGAAACACCCCTTGTACCCAAGAAGATAGCATGTGTGTGGTCCTGGTTATAAGATGCAGTTCAACCGCAGTCAGTTTTACAAAATGCCCCTAGTCTTAATCCTCAGGCACCCTTCCTCTGCATCCACACTGCCTCTCAACGCCCCCACCCCGGGCTTGGTACCCTTTCACAAGAGTGTGGAGCCTACGTTTTCATTCCATCACATGACAGCTTTGGGTAGTGACAGCAGCCAGTTCTACACCACTTAAGATGTGCTCAGCTCTGTGCTAAGCTTATTTATCCAGACCACTCACACAGCCCTAGGAGCGAAGTATTATTATACATACTTTTTATAAGGAAATTGAGGCTTATTGTAGTTAAATACTTGTCTCAAAGAAACAGCTGATCAGCTTTCTATCTTATACTTTGATTGTAGAAGCCATGATGTTAGCCAATGGTGGTTGAAAGATTTAAACTAGTAGCCTACATCATGACACCGTACCTGGGACATCATTGTGGTCTGAGAGATTCCTAGTAATTATAACATACCCTGTCTGGACTCTGTACTGACTGTATTCCTAGTCCTGTGTGCAATCTCTCCCTTCCCCCCTGTACTCTGTGTGGGGGGGGGGAGCAAACAGATGTAGAACAATTTGACTAGCTTGATTATGGGTCAGTTCTTAGGTTTTTAACATAATTTTTTACTGCTGATTTATCTTTAGTTCATTCACAGATAAGATACAAGGCCAAGTTAATAAAAGTTGTATTACTTACAAACAAGGATTTCTTCACTCCCGTGTCTTCACAAACACTAGTATTTCTTTCAAATGTATCCGATCCAAGACTCTTTCCTCCACAGGACTTATGGTTGGGTGAGTGATAGTAACATGCGATCGGGTATTATCATAGTTTTAAGTACACGGACAGCAGACAGGAAGGCAGTGAAATGGGAGGGGATGTAACCCAGTCTGTGGCAGGGTAGGGTACAGGACTTCTTCAGGGGAAAGAGTTGACACTCAAGTGTTGGAAGAGAAAGAAAACATCAAGAAGAAGAAAGAGGGAGTTTCAAGAATACTTGAGACAAGAAACATTTGAGGAACTTAGAGATCAAAGAATAAATCATGACAAGAGATTGTAATGAGATAATTAGTAGCAATAAAGCACAAGTTCAAAAGCAAGTGGGGAGTTTCCAGGCAGCTAAGAAGTAATGAAAGATGGTTGACTAGGGGCCTGGAAGAGCCAAACACTTGGACTGTTTCTAAAAAAAAAAAAAAAAAATTCTAATGAGTGCCAATGTTTCCAGAAAAAAAGAAAAGAGACATGAACATCATCCCAAAATGACCCACATAGTGCACACTACCACCATCATAGTCCACAGCTCACCATCATAGTTCACAGCTCACCATCATAGTCCACAGCTCACCATCATAGTCCACAGCTCACCATCATAGTTCACAGCTCACCATCATAGTCCACAGCTCACCATCATAGTCCACAGCTCACAATCATAGTCCACAGCTCACCATCATAGTCCACAGCTCACCATCATAGTTCACAGCTCACAATCATAGCCCTCACCACCATCATAGTCCACAGCTCACAATCATAGCCCTCACCACCATCATAGTCCACAGCTCACCATCATAGTCCACAGCTCACCATCATAGTCCACAGCTCACCATCATAGTTCACAGCTCACCATCATAGTCCACAGCTCACAATCATAGC